GGAAAAAGCTGAGCATGAATTGCCGAGTGGGATTCCTCATTGGATATCACGAGAACATTGTTGGTTGTCATGTGTACTTCCCAACAGAGCACATGAAAGGATATGTGTCAGATGTCAAGATAAATGAGGCTATAAAGTATAAGGATCGTTTCGACAGTGGATATACATCAAAAGTCAGACGGTGGCTCCAGACACTAAGTGAATACGCTGAGGAGGGCGCATTTAATGATCCTAGTTCTGAAGAATCCGAGGTGTCACATCTGACTGACATTGTAGCAAGCATGGATTGTAATAGCAGTAACATTCAGATGGAGACTGCTGAATCCGATCTCGACACTCTAAATGAGGCAGACCAAACCTTGTGGAATGACATGCTACGCAATAGTATTTTACCAGAAGTGGTCCAGACACAAGGACAAACCAGCGAACAATATTTCAGTGCGAGCAGTAGCGACAAAGAAGAAGGTCAGGAGAGCGAATCTGGTGAAACGCAGGGGGGAGAGCTAGAACCCAGTGACAGCGTTTCTCAACTATCTGAACATGCTACGCCGGGGGAAGAGTTAGCACCCAGTGACAGCGTTTCTCAAGAACTTTCAGAAGATGCATCGGATCCTCCAGCTGATTCTACACATTATCGCGCCGAATATTGTGACTCTGTTCCAGATAGCAACAAAGCAGTTGCAAATGACTCGGATATTTATGACGACGATAAAGACGATGCGGAATCCGGACTTGAGTCGCACAATGACGAGGAAACAGCTGACGATGATAACGATGATGATGATACAGACGCAGATGATGATACAGCTTCAGGTGAAGAGAGACTGCTCACTGATACTGGACATATAACAGACCCTGAAGTGACTCGAAATGAATCCGTCTATGCTGCAAGTGACTACAATTATGATTGTTTATTCGATCCTTTATTCGATCCAAGCGACATGTTGGAGGCTGTGAACGGCACCACGACGTTGATTGCCAATGATCAGCTGATCGGCCACAGAAGACCCAGAGATGTCGAAGTCAGGCGAAGTAGAGAGCACAAAAGAATAAAAGAGGATCACAAAAGAGCAAAGATCACTCCGCGTCTACCCATATTGAGAAAGAATGATCAGCAATGTATACTGAACCAGCGCGAAGATTTCACGGTTAACGCTGCATTCAGAACACCAAAGAACGTTGAAAGCGAAGCGTACGGTACTCGCGCAAGTGATATTCGGACACCAAAGAAATTTCGTCAGGCGATGTGCTCGAAATATGCAACCCAGTGGAAAGCAGCTATGGACGAAGAATTGGAAGCAATGAAGTCCAAGGGAGTGATCACATTAATTTCGAAACGAGAGATGCCTGAAGACACTAAAGCGATCAAGACAATGTGGGTCTATAGTGTTAAAACGGACCACTTAGGCAACGTTATCCGTCTTCGAGCAAGAATTGTGGCTCGAGGTGACAAACAACGCCCAGGAATTGACTATGGAGAAACCTTCAGTCCTGTAGCACGTATGGCGACTTTCAGGATGTTCGTGGCCACTTGTCTATTGATGGACTTGACCATTTACCAGGGTGATATCAACACGGCCTACCTGAATGCACCCTTGGGGATCAAGCAGTACTTGGACTCTCTAGATGGATATCCTTCTGAAACTGACGACATGGTATATGCTGTTCACAAGGCACTGTATGGTCTTAAACAGTCTGGTCGAGAGTGGAACACCGAAGTAAATGCGTGGTTTTTACGGTATGGGTTTAAGCGTTGCACTACAGAACCGTGTCTGTATTACTACGATTCAGGTTCTGAGTTCGTATTGGCACTACTCTACGTGGATGACATTCTGTGTGCAACCAAGAATGAATTGTTCAAGACGAAAATGTTTCGGAGTCTGGACGAGGTCTATGGAATGAAGGATCAAGGTCTACTTAGCACTTATTTGGGTGTTCAAGTAGATAGAAGCGATGATGCGATTAAAATTCACCAGACGAAATACTGCGAAGACGTTATCAATCGTTTTAACTTTGGAGATGCGCACGCTAGCAGAATTCCGATGGAAACAAACATACGACTTGCTGTAAACGATACGGATACCGCGAGGACCAAACGCATACCTGACAATGGCAAAGAATTTCCATATCGTGAGCTAATTGGCTCATTGATGTATCTGGCAACATGTACGAGGCCAGATCTTGCGTATGTGGTCGGGCAGCTTAGTAGATACGTGCAAAGCCCAACACAACAACACATTGGCGCGGCCAAGAGAGTGTTAAGGTATCTGGTGGGTTCCAAGACTCATGGAATTGTGTTCCACGCAAACAATGATGGAAAATTAAGAAGTGATTTAACCGTTGAGGGATTTTGCGATGCGGACTGGAGAAACGACCCAGACACGAGGAAAAGCATTACTGGATATGTACATTGCTTAGCAGGAGGTGCGATATCGTGGGCGTCACGACGGCAGAGTATAGTGGCTCAATCTACGGCTGAGGCCGAATATGTAGCAGCTTGCGAGGCTTGTATGGAAGGGAGGGGTCTCATTCAGGTTCTAATCGAGATATTCCCAAGGTTGGTGTCGAAGTTTCGTCTCGGGATTGACAATCAAGCTGCCTTTGTGATGGCTACAAACCCGACATACAGTCGCAGAACACGACACATTGAACTACGCTGGCACTACGTTCGAGATCAGTATGTGAAGAAAGCAGTAGAACTGTGGAAGGTAAAGACAGACGTGAATCCCTCAGACTTGATGACCAAGCCCCTGGCGAGTGCGCGTTTTGAGGCACTTATCACCATGATAGGGATGACCAAGAACGTTTTGCCGCAGTAACTACTGACGGAGGAGGGCGTGTTGGAAACTGGATGCAAGTCAACGGTGGGCAATGAAGTAAAAGGTGGCGGTTGACAATACTTTTACAGGGAAGGTTTATCTGGAAGGTATTTCGTAGAAGATTCCTCCTGACATGAAGACATGCATTGAGTAGACTCAGTCCAAAAGTTTCCCTCCAGTAAACAAGTTATTTGTGAGTGCGTAGCCATTGTTTTCCTTTATCCATACTCTATTAGAGTTTAGCGCAGGAGTCGATCCAAAGCCGTGTCGGAAGACATGTCTGCGTCACAAAGCATTCATCGAAGTACCAAGCAACGGCTGTTTGGACACGTGTGGATAAATGTTTCTAGAAACGACCAAAGCCGCAGAGTTCTATTGACGTCGCCACAGTGTCTCGTCCTCAAAGCAATGACTCTCGTGGATGTGTTGACTGGCCTGCCAATGACCGATGGTACGGGGCATAGTCCCTGATGGGACTCAGGGATGACTCATGCCGCTTGTTGTCTTGCATTGCTACCGAGACGGCTTCGAGTTTGTCAAAAGAGGAAAGGCGCCTCACATGGACAGCCTCAACGAGGTGGCGACCACGACTGCAGGTGCCTACCTCCCGTGGTCTTTGCTGGTGCAACTGCACAGCCGTTAGGATACCACCATCCAGGATGGCAGGTCCCGGGGTGGCCGCTGACACACGGTCTGTTGGAGCGTAGCGGGATCACTGAAGCGATGACACATGGCGCGAGGACGCACGGCACCAGCCGTTGTTTCGATCCCAATCATCAGCGTTAGCGTGCGGAGCGAAGACTCCATGGCAGGAAATTCCTCAGTCTCGCGCCATCGTCCGTCCGATCGATGGCGCTGCTGTACCACCGTCGACGCGGGGAATGTACTTTACGCGACCAACTTGAAGCAAATCGAAGCAGCTCATCGTGACGGGGTAAAGTCCGCGAGAGCACTACCAGCAGATGGAGCAGAGGCGTAGATTGCGACGAACTTGTGGCCAAAGAACCGACACGTGCATTGCGGTCGTCCATAGACAATCGACGCGGGTATGGAATTCATGCATCGACGATTGACAAAGGCGCATTGACAGATGTCGACGTCGAGGCAGGTGGTGGTAGAACGCGAGATTCGTTGACGCACGTTGTGCCGAGCAGAGACGTCGTGCTGTATATTTTTGCTTGACCGAGAACGAGTAGGGCACGAGCACAGCTGCAAACGGCAAAAGACTTGCGCTTGTGAGCGGAAACGCGTGTGCGCGGATTTGAGCACAAGGTCGGTAAAAGTCTTGACGAGGCTCAACTTGCGACGTCCATTGTCTGCGCTCGGCGTGACGACGAGCGAGCGATTGGTCGCATTCAGTCTATGGGCAGGAACTCCGGCGCGATGCGTCAACGTCCCGACGCAACTGTAGTGGACGTTTTCGATTGCAGAGATCGTCGTGTCAAGTGCGAAGAGCTGTTCGTTTGCTGTAGCGAGACTGTGTTCCCCCCTCGTTTCTAGGGTCGGCCATGCAAACAACCGGAAACACAGTCCCACGTGGCGACGCGTTTCTGTGCCGACAAACAGAGAGCGTCGCCGATGCGTGCGATAGTCGGACACTCTCGAGGTCATGAGGGGGGGTATCTTGTCTGCAAATCTCGTGCGCTCCAGTCGTTTGGTTCAAGCCACGTCTCATCTGCGTGGCGTCGTACCGTGTTCAGACCAAAGGCGTGTGGTGCCACTAGAGCTGCAAGTAGTTCACGCTGCTGCGTGAGCGAGTAGATACCAGTGATGTGTTTTGGCGTCAAGTCCACGGCGCTGCTTCAAGCGGATCGTCCAGCTCTTGATAGGACGTGTTCTAGCACTGCTACCGCTGAAGGTGCTGCTGAACCGACTGTGTCGATGCTGACTCTAGTTCGTGACTGCGATTGTATGTACGCAACGAAGCTGCACGGTGTGTTGTGGCTTCGACGTTGCGAACTTGACGCAAACGGGTCAGTCTCGACAACCGACCGCGGCCTGCCTTGGTGCAGCACCAGGTCCGGTCTAGCACAGCACCAGGCGAGATCAAAGCGATCGATGTGCACACGTTTTTCACGTGAAGCGTGTTGTTGCTTGCGCCTCGAGACGACCAACGTCCCACCGTCTCCGTAACGCCACCGCATTTGTCGATTCGGCCCGTCGCCCGCAAGCACTGCCATGATGCTCCGGTTCAACGTCAAGGAGGTGGAGCTGCCCGAGTTTACCATCACCGCGGAACGACGGGCCGCGCTGCTTGCCGAGGTCGAAGCCGTGGTGCAAAATACACTCGAGCTGCGTACGGCTTTTGCAGCCAACAGACGCCAACTCGACTCGACTTCGTGGAAGTTGGTCAGGACAATGGACGACGTCCGTGCCTACCGATCGCGTCGGGCATTGCACGCACCAGCAGACCACGTCGAGTCGCGCACGGATACGTCGGACAAGGCGTCGTCGCCGACGTCGTCCCACTCGAGCTCGCGGAGGTCGGTACTGGACAAAAGCGCCTGCCTCGGGTCTGCCACCTCGTCCGCGAGTGAGCACCAGTGCCCCAAGTCGAAAAAGACTGCGCGGCCCCCGGCCGTGGTGATCTCGGGCATCATTGACGGGACGGCAGACGATGCGGCCTTGGGGATGCTGGCGGACTCGGAGATCAATGTCAAGATACGCGAGTCCTACCTCGGCACGGAGCTCGACGACGCACGTCTCATTGCTGTGCTCTTGCGGCCAACACCTGAGCAGCCGCTGAACTTCGTCGGGATCAAATGGGGTCTACAGTCGTACGGCCGCTTTAGTCAAGCCCGTGACTTTGTCTTTCTTGAAGGCTCGGGGCTCACGACCGATGCCAAAGGTGTACCTGTCGCGTTTGGGATCCGGCAATCGATCGACTTGTCCGATATCCTTACCCTCCCACGTCCGCCAAACACCATTCGAGGCTACATGTCTGGGTGCCAGACGTTCGGGAACACCAGTCGGATGAATAACACGGGTCACCGCACGGTCGAGATGTTCACTCGTGCTTTCATCGAGATGGACGGGGCACCTGTCAATATGGCAGCGGCTGCCTATGCAGAGAAGCTCATGGCGCTTGTCGCCTGCATGGAGTGTGCGAACGCCCACAAGCTCACGTACCTGATGAAGAAATCGACTCGACTAACGTCTCCCTGCACGAGCAGCGTGTTGGGTCGAATGACGTCAAACAACGTCTGTGCCACCTGCACGCGCAGTATCAGTAAATTCCGCACGCTCGTGCTGCAAAGAGGAGGTGCCTGTCAGATCTGTCGACGTCTACTCTGTGGCCGATGCTCCGTGACCAAGAAGATCTGTATTGGCCTTGGAAGCGAAGTGCTGCAGAAATCCATGCTGTTTTGCCTCGAGTGTTTGTTGGAGGCCAAGGCGATTCCTTCACACAAGGTGGCGCGGGACAAGATACATTGGTAACGAACGTGTCAGTAGGTAGGTAGATACTGATTGCATTCACTGAATAGGATGGTACTTGCTGCGTCACTTTGCCCTGCGCAGACGACACAAAAGACCCTGAAGCACGAATTCAAACATCATCATCATCATCGTCATGGCAAGTGGGTTCCGCGTTGCACGAAGTTGTTGTTCGTAGCTACAGATTGGGAACACACGGCAGGTGCAGCATGAAATCATATCTTTTCATTCTAATGTGCGCAAAAAATCAATCTTCTTGGACGTAACAGTTCATAAAGAGGGTATCAAGAATTGGGCTTTGTGCTATGAGGAGTCTCTGATGAGGTAGCAGCGGGATGGCTAAAGTATGAAGGTTCTTGTGTCACAAGACGATAGGCGCGGCTTTCGAGCGCGTACAACAATGCCATCTGTAACATCTCGACGTCTACTGAATGTTCGTGACCACAACACCGTGCGACTGTTGAGGCAGTTGTCCGACTATACGTGGTGTGCAGATCGCACGTATTTGCCGCACTATAAAGTCTTCAAGAAGTTCTCGGTGCGGCTATCCATGTAGGGTCTGTCGCCCGACCACGTTGCTTACAGGAAAGAAAGTGAGATGAGAGTTGTTCCATCGCGCACGACTTCGAGTAAAGACAAGTGTCAAAGTGTTGCACTCCAGTCTACATACCGCGCAAGATGCTTTGTCCCTCGTCGTTACATTGATTAGCTGGATCCCATGGCGAGATCCCGTTTTGTGCTGTAGGTGCGAGTGACACTGTCAAAAAATTGAGCCTGCGCACGTGTGACATCGTTGACATGGGGTGGCATTTGTAAGTGTGTCGTGCCGGCGGGGCGAATGACAGCACGTTGGTGTGCGTCGGTGTGTTATGGGCGCGCAAAGATACCGAGATGTGAGCTGAGTCGAAATGCGAAGAAGAAGTGAAGCACCAAGCAGGCTGCGAATGATCATGGTGGACGAAAGTAGGAATGCAGACAAGCGGTAATAGAACAATTGCATCATACAAGTGGGACGACGGCGATCTACAAAAGGTCGCACAACAGACAACGTAAGTGAGCAAGGAAGAGTCTTAATACGTATAATAACTGCCGCTATATTCCGACCGAAACAAGTCGTATGATGAGTTCACCTTCGTCGTGGGTTTCAACCGAGCGAGCAGGAGTAAGTATGCCGACACATGGATGTCATGTACAACAAGCCTTCAGCAAAAGTGTCGTCAGCACCGCTCATACGAATGTCGACATGATGTTGAAGGTACAGTTGGAGGTGCATCCACGAATGTATTGCCATCGTTTATGCAGCACTATTTGCCCACACACGCGCTGACATACTCTTCTTCTGGTCAGACTGCTTCACCAGCTTTTGCTGCCTTCTTCGGCCGCTTCTTTCGGAAACTGACAGTGTAAGCTAAGGATCATCACTTCCTTTCCAGCGAATTTTCTTCGGCAAGACATTTGGATCCATCAGTAATGGATGGTTTTGTGCTGGTGACTAGCAAGTCAGGAGCTGACTTTCATTTAAAAGATAGCAGACGCGCCTGACTGTTGCTCACTAACGCGTCGAGAGCTGATGATGATTGTCGGTGGAATCATCGCATCATGCTTCCTCGTTGTTCTCATAATCGAGCAAGAAGTCATGTGAGCGTCTTTCGATCCTCGTCAAGTGTCACCAAACTGTCAAAGTGTGCATAAGTTAGCGCACATACATGCGATCGACGAGAAATATCAATTCCATACTGCGTACCGATCAAACCTCGTTTACCGTTTCTCTACAAGCATTTCTTACACTGACAGTGGAAGCCTGAGAAAGCTGCAGATCTAAGCGTTGTCGAAAAAGAATCGGGATGTCGTTGTCAATGACGCTGTTGTTGGTGAGGCAAACAAATACATGTGCGATGCGGGCACTGTCAAGTTCGCCACACTACGGACTATAGCGTTCGTCTGCTCTTGCACCCATAGCGGTACTGTGTAGTATGGTTATAAGTGCCATCTGCTCCTCGATGTAGGCCTCCACACTACGAAACCATATGAGAGATTTAAAGTCTGGAATATTTGGTGGAACGTCGGGCTGACTTGAGTGCGGAAGCGAGATACTGAAGTCGATGGCCGAGCGCTTTGCAACAAAGCATTACACGTCGCAGTCGATCGTGCTGACTGACATCATAATTTTGACGGAAACCTGGGTTATCGGACCTTCGGGAGCGTGAGTATGCTAACGAAGACGTTGTCGATGTTACGCAAAATTCTGAAAGCTTTCTTTTTCACTTGCCGGATGCAATGCGGTCTATAGCGAGGTAAGAAGCAAACGCTTCGGTCGAAGTTTGCTGCAACACATATGACTCGCGATTTTTTGTGCGCTACAAGTGAAAAGGCTAAAAATTGTTTGCAATAGACACAAGTTTTCGATAAAGTTGTAAAATAGATTGTTACATTGTAGATAAATGAAGTCGATCAAAGATACATTGCAGCCCGTCATAGAAATTCTCGTAGAAACTGTCAGAAACAATTGCACAAAATTGCAAAAACTCGTCTCAGCACGCCGATCCCGGGCTTTACTTTCGCGTTTGGCTAAATTGTGAGTGAATATGGATTTTTAAACAACGATTACTGCAAAACATTCTCCACATTGTTGTCGGGCACATATTTCTACTGGTGATGAGTATGTTTTGCAAGTAGGACATGTGCAAACCCGTCGCATCTAGTGTGAAGACGTACAAGTTGGCACTATGTTCGGCTTACTGTAGACCCTTTTGGTACAAACACGCACAAAGAAATTCATTGCCCGTCGTTCTTTACTCTTGTAGTCTTTTTGTGCAGATGGTTACCTCAGCTACACATGTGCCAAAATCGGTATTTACAGTAGATCCCCTATTAGCTGATACAATTGGGCGAATGAAAGATTATGAGGTAGGAGGGGTTGGGTGGTCACGTGGTCTACGTCTCTTGCCCATCGTCCATCTGAACACTCTAGATTAACAACAAAGGGTAATTATCTAATAAGGGATTCGTTAAGAGAGGCTCTACTGTACTGCAAAAAATATTCGCGACATTGTTTTTGTCGACAACGTGTATTGCTATGATGTCTTTCAAATCGCCATTCGTATTTCTCACGGAATGATAAAGCTTCGGCTGAGGCAAATCGTTTCCTTGAATTGCGACGAGATTCAATGCTTTTGCTCAGCGACACGAATTTACCAGCGACAATGCCGGGGACTCGATCGACCATACAAACGTCGCCGTCAAAAGCAACGTTTTGACATTTTTCATGGTAAACATGGCTCTGATAGCTCACGTCAATAGCATCATGATGGCAACCGGGCAGCAAGAATGTTGCTCCATTTCAGAACTAGATCGTGAGAGATGATGATCGAGTCAGAAGTAGATATTAAGGTACACACAATCGTACCTGAATCAACTAGTCAAAACAAATGATGTGCTACATGCACGCTTAGATGCACGGGTCGGTTTCGTTTCGAAGATCAACTCCCGTATGTCATGTCGCCGAGTCGTGCAGCACGACTGAGCTATCTATATGCTAGATAGCCATGATGTCACGGTCTGTCGTCACGGTCTGACCTCACAGTATGACGTCACGGTCTGACCTCACACTATGACGTCCCAGTATGACGTCATTAGGAACATTCTAAAACGACATAGAATGATAGGCTTAGTGGTAGCACAGGGTAGTAAACAAAGGAACTATGTTAATTCAATTTTCAATTTACCAAGTAATCCACAAGTCCTCACATCCGGTAGCACTTGTTGGTCCTCGCCGTCCCTACTGCATCGCCGTCGCCCCGCAAGAGCAGTGATCAGAAGAGACCAATCGTATACCCTAATCCTTTTGAGGGCGGGGACTCCTTTTCATTGGCTGTAAATCCTACTGGGCCATTACTACTGCTGCTGTTATCGAGATCGAATTCTTAAGTGGCTATAAATCCTCTCGTTTTAGTTATAAGTCAGTTTGGTTAACAAAAGGTCAGTTCCTCGGTTCATGACCCGTCACTCGCGGAAGCAACCCACAAGAATCGACATCAACGACTCGCTAGCCCAGATGTCCGTAAATTAGCCAGACGCAGCCGATAAGTGCCGCGCGGATCTGCTGAAATCAATCTGCCGCACCAGCCGCATTCTTTGCCGCTTCAAGAAACACTAGGATACGTCTCAACGCTCCGACTCGCGCAATAACATCAAAGCTCGCTTGCTCTCGCACCTAAGTGACTTGCTCAGATTCGAGAGCACGGTGAACCTACGCATCTTACGCGAAATTGCTAAGCACCAGGTCAAGACTATCCGAGTTTCTTTTGCTGGGCCGCCAGGATTCAAAATCGTACCCGTAAGCCAACTACCGACCGCCAAGTCGAACAAGTCCTTAAAACCCGGACCAAAGTTTATCAAGAGAAGCACTCAAGAGCCAAAAAGGACCCCAGATCAACCACCTGGAGTTAATTAATCGTTAATACCCAATGAAAACTGTATTAGTTCAACAATGTCCACCCCGATGACTTCCAATCAGCATGCACAATTTCTGCACTCTATGGTTGCAATGATGGTAAAACAAGCGCAATTGATTGAGCAATGTCAGAAATTAAAACAGCTTTCGGATATCAAGCTAGAGGTTTCGTAACTTCCGACGTATGGGAATAGGTTGGATGAATCTTTTCAACTCTACAAGGAGAAAGTGAAGCAGTACTTCTTTGCACGAGGTGTTGACTGGAAGAGTCTAGAACTTTCGCAAAGAATACTCGCTGTCTTAGGCGGAACGCTGAAGCAAGAATCCGCCGAGTGGTATGTGATGCAAAAACAGTACGTCACAAATGTGGAAGACTTCTTAAGCAAAGTCGAACGTGAATTTGTTCCGGCTGATTTGCAAGAGCGTCTACGCGAGGATATGAACAACATGAGCGAGCGCGATTGCGAAGACCTCCCTGATCATGTGTGCAAGTTTCGCCACGTAGTCACTCAAGTTTGAGAGATGAGCGAGCTGGACCAGATCATGTACT